TCAAACAGTCACACTCCAAACTCCACTATGGCCAAGACCAAAGAGCTGTCAAAGGACACCAGAAACAAAATTGTAGACCTGCACCAGGCTGGGAAGACTGAATCTGCAATAGGTAAGCAGCTTGGTTTGAAGAAATCAACTGTGGGAGCAATTATTAGGAAATGGAAGACATACAAGACCACTGATAATCTCCCTCGATCTGGGGCTCCATGCAAGATCTCACCCCGTGGGGTCAAAATGATCACAAGAACGGTGAGCAAAAATCCCAGAACCACACGAGGGGACCTAGTGAATGACCTGCAGAGAGCTGGGACCAAAGTAACAAAGCCTACCATCAGTAACACACTACGCCGCCAGGGACTCAAATCCTGCAGTGCCAGACGTGGCCCCCTGCTTAAGCCAGTACATGTCCAGGCCCGTCTGAAGTTTGCTAGAGTGCATTTGGATGATCCAGAAGAGGATTGGGAGAATGTCATATGGTCAGATGAAACCAAAATATAACTTTTTGGTAAAAACTCAACTCGTCGTGTTTGGAGGACAAAGAATGCTGAGTTGCATCCAAAGAACACCATACCTACTGTGAAGCATGGGGGTGGAAACATCATGCTTTGAGGCTGTTTTTCTGCAAAGGGACCAGCACGACTGATCCGTGTAAAGGAAAAAATAAATGGGGCCATGTATCGTGAGATTTTGAGTGAAAACCTCCTTCCATCAGCAAGGGCATTGAAGATGAAACGTGGCTGGGTCTTTCAGCATGACAATGATCCCAAACACACCGCCCGGGCAACGAAAGGAGTGGCTTCGTAAGAAGCATTTCAAGGTCCTGGAGTGGCCTAGCCAGTCTCCAGATCTCAACCCCATAGAAAATCTTTGGAGGGAGTTGAAAGTCCGGGTTGCCCAGTGACAGCCCCAAAACATCACTGCTCTAGAGGAGATCTGCATGGAGGAATGGGCCAGAATACCAGCAACAGTGTGTGAAAACCTTGTGAAGACTTACAGAAAACGTTTGACCTGTGTCATTGCCAACAAAGGGTATATAACAAAGTATTGAGAAACTTTTGTTATTGACCAAATACTTATTTTCCACCATAATTTGCAAATAAATTCATTAAAAATCCTACAATGTGATTTTCTGGATATTTTTTTCTCATTTTGTCTGTCATAGTTGACGTGTACCTATGATGAAAATTACAGGCCTCTCTCATCTTTTTAAGTGGGAGAACTTGCACAATTGGTGGCTGACTAAATACTTTTTTTCCCCCACTGTATATTGTATCTGTATACAAAATTATGCAACTTATACATTTCAATAACATGTTTGTTATCATAGACAAATATCTGTGCCTCTTTTGATATTGCTGAGAAACAGACTAAAGGCTTCAGTTTTTGCTACACAATATTGTAAATTCTTGAATAACCTACAGTGTAAGTTTGGACCATGGTCATCAATTTGTATCCTTCCACTGAACAACTTGAAATGTCTAAAGGGTATACTGTGTGTGTCTAAACTACCGTACTCCCTTGCTCGAAATTACTTGCCAGGTAATCCCTACTAAAAGCAAAGAAAAGGAAATCCATTGAAACCAAAAAGTTAATTTACAATGTCGTTTTTTTTATTTTTTTTATTTCAGTCCAGTTCCCAAACTGCAGTATTTTGTTGTTTTACACTCAAGACACAGCCATGCACAATTCATAATTAAAAAAAGTATATTGCTTCAACCACAATTAAAAATAGCTTATCCGAAACCTTAATTTTCCCCCTTCGCTTTTTCTCATCAGTCTGTTTCCAAAGATGGGGCCTGCTGAGGTTTACCAGATGGATCAGCAGTTTACAAACCCAGATAATAATAATAGGAATAATAATAGGAATAATTTTAAAAGAAATGCTTTTTTGTCTTTGTTCCATCTCTTGATACACATTTATAGAGGAATTTTCACACCACGTGTACAGGTTTACACATTCAGAAGAGAGGAATGTACAGGAGCGACCGCAGAAGAGGAGCGGGCCGGCGGGGCAGGGTGGGGCAGGCCGGTGGGCCGGTGGGGCAGGGTGGGGCAGGCCGGTGGGCCGCTAGCTGTCCCAGAGTTCATCTTTGTGCTCATAGTTCAGGTACGTAGGTGAGACCAAAGGTCACAGGGCAGATAGTCTCTGTGAGATCCCTGATACTCTCAGCCACAGGCACACTCAGCAGTCGTGCTCCGGACAGCCAGACAGCCTTCATGGGTGTGCTGGAGACAGACAGGGGACTGCTTCCAATGGCTCTGTGTCCAGGTGGGGTACTGTCTGACACAGCCCAAGCAGTATTGTTCCATCCAGGAGTGTAGAGACAATGTTTATTTTCTTGTTCAATTTCCAGGGTGCCACCATTTACAAATACATAGGCCTTCTATAGAGCAACCTGAATATTTTCATTGCATTTTTTTCCATCCTATTTACATACATACACACATATCCTAACAATGTTAGCCTACTTGGAAAATGAATTAACATGTGTTGTTTTCCCATGCATGAAATGTCCTCCTTGCAATGGACAGTGTGAGGCTCTCCTGCATTTCTACAGTACGTATAGCCTACAGTGGAGGTATGAGTGAGCAGCTACCCTGCACCTCACCGTCTGAGTTAAGGTGGACAACAGGAGTGGCATCTAGTGCAGACTGAGGTAGCTCTCTCCCTTACAAACACACACACATGCTCACACACACACGTGTACACAGCCACTCATGCATACACTCCCATTCATACACACACACACACACACACACACACACACACACACACACACACACACACACTCTACCAGGGATATAGTTTGAGCTCAGGGCATACAGCCCATGAAATAAGTAGTCAGTTACTCCCTATGAGAGCCCTGTGATCAGGGACTGATATCTCTACATAGTGTACACTACAGTTTAGACACAACACAAGGACAAGTGTCTATCCTGTCTCCTACTCTCGCTGTCCCAGGTCTGGACTTCAGTACAGTCCTAAGGGATGCTGTGGCTACTATGGACCAGGCAGAGGTAAGCTATTGAATTAAGAATCAAGAAACAGTCTATATTTATATACAGAAAGAGCTTTTCAGAGTACTTGTCCAGTAGCCTCTGCTATGGGGTGATAGGAATGGCAGAGTGAAGGGGAATGTGATCCTCTTGTTTTCAATGGTCCGTAAAACAGGTTACAATCATAGAATGGCACTCAGTCATTAATCCAAAAAACCTTTTCATGGGCAAATGATTAACTAACACCCACCAACCTGCTGCCACACAACCAAAACTCACAGAAACACTCACATAGAAACAGATACAACCAAACTCACACAGTACATAGGAAAGTTTAGCCACAACAAGACACTGGCGCAATAAGTCTTAACTCACGCTGAGGAAGCTAAAGAATGGCATCCCATTAAAATAACTATATGTACACCTCATGGATGGACAAACAGACAGACAGACAGAGAGAGAGAGAGAGAGAGAGAGAGAGAGAGAGAGAGAGAGAGAGAGAGAGAGAGAGAGAGAGAGACAGAGAGATAGACTGAGAGACAAACAGACAGACAAACAGACAGATAAACAGAGAGACAGACAGACAGATGAACATGTGCGCTAACTCAGGGATTGTGCTCATTTGAACAAATGGCTTCTGCTTCAGATACATCTAGGTAAATTCACAGATCAGAGGTTAAGCTTGCAAAGGTAAGGCTCATTGATGTGAACAAATGGTAACATTGGCAAACTGACCACAAAAATTATTTTCAAGCAAAGTTTTGTTGGCAGACTAGCCCCACATAGACACTAATACAGTCTAACGTCCTGCAATAGTTTGTGACACCTTCAGAATCTTTCTAACGGACCACGCGTCTCAGACATTCTGATTGGAAATTGACTCTGGACAAACAATTACAAATTAATTAATTTACTAAATCGATTTTAACTAACTACAGGTATTAAGCCCATAACGGGGGTTCGTACTTGAATTTGATGAATGGGAAAATGTTTTCAAAGCATTGATTTTGAAAACCTGAACACACTGTTGCCCATCAGAGAGGCAGTAGTGATTGAATCAGCCTCGACTGCAGCCTTGGCTCAGCCATTCTCTATGTCAGATCTCTGAACGTCAAGTTTAGGGTGTCCAAGAAATTACAGCTATGTCCTGGAGTACAACAGCCAACTGGCTTTGATGGATGGTTGCCACTTCTCTCCTCCAATTTTTCTCTCCCGAGGTGGGAGCTTCGCGGAGACGCAGACGCGAGCCGCAGAGAAGAGTAGCGCTCGACTCCGCGTCCGCTCTCTCTCGTCTCTCTCTTCCTCTGCCTCTCTCTCTCGTCTCTCTCTCTCTCTCGCTCTCTCCTCTCTCTCTCTCTCTCCTCTCTCCTTACACACACACACACACACACACACACACACACACCACACACACACAAACACCACAAACACAACAACACACAACCTGCAGGATGAGCAGGTTGCAAGTTGGTTACACAGAGCCAAAGTCATGCAGGCATATGTTGGTTCCAGAGTCCCGGAGTCTGTCTCTCACGTAAAATGTTCACTGCAGGAGAGGCCTTATGAAAAGGCCTAGAGGAAAGGGAACCAAGGTGATCGCTGGACAGAAAGGGGAGGAATCACAAGCTCTCAGTGCTGTTACTTTCGACTTCTCATCCTGGATCTCTCCCTCTTGAAAAGGAGCACGTTTTTTCTTTGTATTTTCTCTTTTTTTGTTTTTTTGTTTAGGAGCATCTACTCCCCTCACAGGACACACACGCTTACACACACACGCTTACACACACACGCTTACACAGTTCTGATGGACCGCTCCACATGTACAGAATGCTGGCGGACTAAAAGAGGAGGCAGGAAGGTGATTCAGTATCAGCGTCTGACCGCTGAGAGGCCCTGTAGGCCAGCTGTCCATCCTCTGTATGAGGCAGCAGGGGGTTGGTTACTGTCTGTCACACAACCCCATGGAGCAGGGTCCAGCTCTGTGTGTGGACACACGGTGCCCCCTAGCGGCTGCTGTTCTTTATGGCTTCCTTGGCTGCGACAATCAGGGGACTCAGGCTGGACAGGGGCTTGGCTAACTTCAGGAACGAATGCTGCAAAGAACACAAGACAAGAACAGTAATGAGGGGAATGCTCTGCGTGTACAGACTGTGATTTAAGGTTAGAACTGTATGTTAGTAATGTAGGGGTAGACTGGTCAGGGTGGTCGAGTTTGGGTTATGTTAGAGTGGTCAGATTAAGGTCTGGGTTATGTTAGTGGTCAGTGTGGTCAGGTTGGGGTTAACATGGTGGTCAGTACCTGGAGGAGCTCCTTGGCTGAGCCTCTGCGGTCGACGTCCATCTCCAGGCAACGGTTGAGGAAGTCTCTGAACACGGAGGTCAAACGCTCAGGGTTCTGGAGCTCTGGAGTCCCGTTGGTGGCGATAAGGTACAAGGCCTGAGGGGGTGGGAGAGAGGGGTGGAGGGGGCCAATCAGTTACTAGCACTTACTGATCAAATAGCTCCAGTATATCCCTGGATGTGTGTGAACTGTAGATAGTGTGTCTTACCCTGAGAGGGTTCTCATTCAGGTAGGGAGGTTCTCCCTCCACCATTTCTATGGCCATGATACCCAGGGACCAGATGTCCACCTTGGGCCCGTAGGCCTTGCGGGTCACCACCTCGGGTGCCATCCAGTAGGGCGTGCCCACCATGGTGCTGCGCTTGTTCTGCTCTGGGGTGATCTGGGCACAGAACCCGAAGTCGGCTGCAGGGAGAGAGGAACATGTCAGACACGGCTTCTTCAACCCCACCACTCCCCACAGGCTCACTACCCACAGGACCACTACCCACATGACCACTACCCACAGGACCACTCCCCACAGGACCACTCCCCACAGGACACCTACCCACAGGACCACTCCCCACAGGACCACTCCCCACAGGACCACTACCCACAGGTCCACTACCCACAGGACCACTCCCCACAGGACCACTACCCACAGGACCACTACCCACAGGACCACTCCCCACAGGACCACTACCCACAGGACCACTCCCCACAAGGACCACTACCCACAGGACCACTCCCCACAGAACCACTACCCACAGGACCACTACCCACAGGACCACTCCCCACAGGACTCTCTACCCCAACATCCAATTGACTATCATTCCACCCTGGTCCCTCCTGCCTGTCCCTTACTGGTGAGATGACTTACTGAGCTTGACCGAGCCATCCATGCCCAGTAGGATGTTGTCACTTTTGATGTCTCTGTGGATCACCTGGTTGGAGTGCAGGAAGTCCAGAGCCTGCAGACACTGTAGAGAGTGGGGACACAGACACACATCTGGATCAGAGGAAATGCCTAGGCTAGTGTTCAGAAGAGGCTCAGCTCCAGTCACTAGGGGGTATTTGTTGATAGTAGAGGGCTGGTCTCTTACCTCTCTGCAGACTGCAGCGATCTGGCCCTCATCCATGCAGGTCTCAGTCACCACATCAGTTAGTGAGCCTCCAGCCAGGTACTCCATCACCACCCACAGCTCATCCCCTACTAGGTAACTACAGACAGAGGAGGACAGAGAGATTAAAGGTAGACTCAGCGATATTAAGTAGATGCAGAAAGAAAACAGCATAGTTGGTCAATTTCTGCAAGAACTAAGAGCATTGAAGCTCGAGGCTTAACTTATCCACTGTTTTGGTGCCCCTGGCTAACAGCGTGAAGCGAACCCTTGCACATGCGCAGATACTGTGTGTGACCGTGTAAGAGTGAAGTCTTGCATCTCGCTCATCTCAATATCTATGGTGCTGCTCGTGGCAATGTCATTTCGCTGAGTCTACCTTTAAGTATAGTCATTGCATGAAATTGTCATATTTACAGTAGCTGCTATACTTGTGGTTCTCCCCATCAGTAACCATGGCGATGAAGGTTACCTGTCCAAGTAATTGACTATGTTGGGGTTTTTGTTTTCCCTCATCACCAGGATCTCATTGATGATGAGCTCCTTCTTGGGCTGCTGCTGGAGGTTCATCTGCTTGATGGCCACCTAACAGAGGCACAACCACAAATAAGACATTAGATGGTGTCTTCAGTGCTCTTCTGACAGATTACACAGTTACTGTGATTAGCCAGAAGAGATGGCTTATCAGGGTGGCAGATAGACACGTAAGATGTGGATGTTTTTCTGAAGGGACTGTGGTAGTAACATTAGTTTACCTCCTGGCCAGTAGCAATGTCAATGGCTGTGTATACAGTGCCAGATGCCCTGAGGAAACAAGAGAACAACACATTAATGCCACATAGACACAAGTCAATATGTAAGGAGTTATAACAGACCATGGCCCTCCACTGTATCTATCTCTATAATATTAGAGTTATGCAACTCTCCAGAGCCTGGAGGACACTTCCTTATTTTTTTATTAACACAATAATCTCAAAGAAAACAATAACACAATGTCTTTGAATGCAAGCAGTTCAATTGATTTTTTCCATAGATGATCAGGTACAATTTAATTTGACCACCAGAGGGCAGCATTGATGATTGGCCATTGAAAAGGCAACACTAATGCTTCTGGGTCAGTAATAACTAATAGGAGTCTTCAACCTGTCAATAAAGTGACCTTTCCTCTGTGATTTCTATAAATGTCTTGCATAGGTTATGTCCCTACAGTATATAATGTGCACATTGTACCACTTGCATATGTTGATAATGTCAAGAGCTCATTCTGCTATGAGTGGTGTGTCTGAGTTGCATGTGAAGTTTGAGTGGAGCAAGGTTATTATAGTTTTTCGTATTTATATATTTTTTTATTTCAATAATTTTTTTTGATTTTGATTTTGAATTCAGTTTAATTTCAGTAAGTTTTCAAGACCTGATTTGCAAGCTTATATTTAGTTTTAGTTGTATACAAATATTTAGTTATTATATTGTTTAGTTTCAGTTTTAGATTTAGTTTTAGTGTTCGGGACAGAAAGCATGTGTGGGAGGCTAGGAACCATTTGGGTTGTATAATTTTTTGTGATGTCACTTCTTGCAACTGGGGGTCAGTAATACATAAGGTGATGGGTCAGGTCATAGGTTAGGTTAGCCCTTCTCATGACTCAGTCCTTCCACGTCCCGTTTGAATAGCTGAGATCATTTGGTCAAGTGTGAAATGCTCTATCTAGAAACAATTTATCCTTGATTGCGATACAGTTTTGGAAACATTGAACACTAAACTTGAACACTAAAGTTATCATCCAAAATCAACTTTACAAATAAAAAGTATACACTTACTGTTAGCTGTTTTACCACAGATATCCACTGAGGTTTTTTGTGTAACACAGCTTCGAGCAGACGTTTTGTTTTTGTTCCCTCCCGAGTTTCCATTAGGTCAGGAAGTGCAACGCAAAACACCTCCGTGGGAATCTGTGCTAAAATGGCGCACAGTAAGTGTATCTTTTGTATTTATAAAATTATATTGGGGTGATATGAAAGTATACTGAACAAAAATATATATGCAACATGTAAAGTGTTGGCCCCATGTTTCATGAGTTGAAATAAAATATCCCAGACATTTTCCATATGCACAAAAAGCTTATTTCTCTCAAATGTTGTGCACAAATTTGTTTACATCCCTGTTAGTGAGCATTTGCCCTTTATCAAGATAATCCATCCACCTGACTGGTGTGACATATCAAGAAGCTGATTCAACAGCATGATCATTACACAGGTGCACCTTGTGCTGAGGACAATAAAAGGCCACTCTAAAATGTGCAGTTTTGTCACACAACAAAATGCCACAGATGTCTCAAGTTGAGGGGGCGTGCAATTGGCATGCTGACTGCATTAATGTCCACCATAGCTGTTGCCAGATAATTGAATGTTAATTTCTCTACCATTAGCCACCTCCAATGTCGTTTGTGAGAATCTGGCAGTATGTCCAACTGGCCTCACAACTGCAGACCACGTGTATGGCGTTGTGTTGGCGAGCAGTTTGCTGATGTCAACATTGTGAACAGATTGCCCCATGGTGGCGGTGGGGTTACGGTATGGGCAGGCATAAGCTACGGACAACGAACACAATTGTATTTTATCGATGGCAATTTTAATGCACAGAGATACCGTGACGAGATCCTAAGGCCCATTGTCGTGCCATTCATCCGCCGCCATCACCTCATGTTTCAGCATGATAATGCACGGCTCCATGTCGCAAGGATCTGTACAGAATTCCTGTAATCTGAAAATGTCCCAGTTCTTACATGGCCTGCATACTCACCAGACATGTCAGCCGTTGAGAACGTTTGGGATGTTCTGGGTAGACGTGTACGACAGCGTGTTCCAGTTCCCAACAATATCCAGCAACTTTGCACAGCCATTGAAGAGGACTGGGAAAACATTCCACAGGCAACAGCCTGATCAACTCTATGCGAAGGAGATGTGTCGCGCTGCATGAGGCAAATGGTGGTCACACTAGATACTGACTGGTTTTCTGATCCAAGCCCCTAACATTTTTTTTAAAGGTATCTGTGACCAACAGATGCATATCTGTATTCCCAGTCATGTGAAATCCATAGATTAGGGCCTACTGCATTTATTTCAATTGACTGATTTCCTTATATGAACTGTAACTCAGTAAAATCGTTGAAATTGTTGCATGTTGCGTTTATATTTTTGTTCAGTATAGAATTTCTGAAATTTCCAAAACCGTATTGCATTGATTATTAACAGTTAAACAGAGCGTCAGCTGTACACATTGGCCCCGCTGTGGTCAATTGTTCAATTGAGAACCCTATGGCTGTACGGCATTGGGTTCTGGAGAGCTCAGGTTACGTTATATTAGTTTCTAGCCCAAACCGTTCGGACTCTCCAGACGTTTTCGTGAGAAGACCGATTTTCGGGATGTCTCCTGGTCTGACAAACACTGCTGTAACTCTGCCACCTTCCACCGCAGATGCGGAAGGCCAACATCGGCGGATGCGGTGGATTGAGATGCAGCCCATGCAAAAAACCTATATTTCTAGCTTAAACAGATTGACGTTGATGGGGATATTTTTACTATGCTAATTATATTGACGCGTGGGCGCGTCAATCGAATCTAAGGGTAACTTTAGTAGTACATGTAAGAATAATCAAATTGATACTTAGCCATTTTTTTCCCATTAGCTAGTGATAGCTAGTGAAAGTGATGCCCAAGCTAGGCCTTTTTGAAACATCCCCATCATCTGGCCGCAATTACCCGCCAGATTAAGTAGTTTGAAAATCCCATTAGATCTTTGCCCCCTCCCCCCCAAAAAAGTACTAAAACTGAACATAATTCACAATGGTTTTCATTTTATTTTATATCGTTTTGGAGAAACAAATGTATAATAGTTTCAGTATAGTTTTAGTTTGCTCTACACTGTTGGAGCTAGGAACACAAGCATTTCGCTACACCCGCAATAACATCTGCTACATATGTGTATGTGACCAATAAAATCTGATTTGATTTGATTTTGTTAATTATTATATTTCAGTTTACTAATTTGTTTTTTCATTAACTTAGTTTTAGTTTTAGTTTCAGTTTTAGTTTACTTTAATAACCTGGGTGTGGAGTGCCCATTCCTCTATGATGTGTTTATGACTCTGTAATGCATACACTTCATGACTGGCATATGAACCCACTCTGCCAAGTGTACAGCGTGTTTAAAGTGCTCTTTTTAACATGTACATTATGATTCATTGCAAAGTGTACAGTATGTTCTGTAACATGTACAGTATATGTCTTGTGCGTAAATGATGTGTATTCTGATCCCTGTGCCACAGGGGTGTTGAGGCTCCAGTGGAATCACAGATTTGATATTCCCTCTATAGTAGCCTGAGCAGCCTTTTAATTAGCCAGACAAAGATTACAGTAAGCTGATAAAAGCTGTGTGTGTTTGGCACCCCCGGCCGGGGTACAGTAATCTGCACCTTTATCCCAAGATGTCCCTCTCTCTGCCCTGACATTTTACACCTCTGAGTGCTGGAGGGCAGAGACATGCTGCTGTATACCACCACCCTGCACTCTGCCCTGGGGAAAGACACATTTTTATGATGCTTCCATTTCTGAATCAGCTCCAAGGGAATATAACACAGTCCCATGGTGAAGGAATATAACACAGTCCCATGGTGAAGGAATATAACACAGTCCCATGGTGAAGGAATATCACAGTCCCATGGTGAACACAGTCCCATGGTGACGGAATATAACACAGTCCCATGGTGACGAATATAACACCAGTCCCATGGTGAAGGAATATAACACAGTCCCATTGGTGAAAGGAATATAACACAGTCCCATGGTGAAGGAATATAACACAGTCCCATGGTGAAGGAATATAACACAGTCCCATGGTGAAGGAATATAACACAGTCCCATGGTGAAGGAATATAACACAGTCCCATGGTGAAGGAATATAACACCAGTCCATGGTGAAGGAATATAACACAGTCCCATGGTGAAGGAATATAACACAGTCCCCATGGTGAAGGAATAAACACAGTCCCATGGTGAAGGATATAACACAGTCCCCATGGTTGACGGAATATAACACAGTCCCATGGTGACGGAATTAACACAGTTCCCTGGTGAAGGAATATAACACAGTCCCATGGTGAAGGAATATAACACAGTCCCATGGTGACGGAATATAACACAGTTCCCATGGTGACGGAATATAACACAGTCCATGGTGACGGAATATAACACAGTCCCATGGTGACGGAATATAACACAGTCCCATGGTGAAGGAATATAACACAGTCCCATGGTGAAGGAATTTAACACAGTCCATGGTGAAGGAATATAACACAGTCCCATGGTGAAGGAATATAACACAGTCCCATGGTGAAGGAATATAAACACAGTCCCATGGTGAAGGAATATAACACAGTCCCATGGTGAAGGAATATAACACAGTCCCATGGTGACGGAATATAACACAGTCCCATGGTGACGGAATATAACACAGTCCCATGGTGACGGAATATAACACAGTCCCATGGTGACGGAATATAACACAGTCCCATGGTGAAGAATATAACACAGTCCCATGGTGACGGAATATAACACAGTCCCATGGTGACGGAATATAACACAGTCCCATGGTGAAGGAATATAACACAGTCCATGGTGAAGGAATATAACACAGTCCCATGGTGACGGAATATAACACAGTCCCATGGTGACGGAATATAACACAGTCCCATGGTGACGGAATATAACCACAGTCCCATGGTGAAGGAATTTAACACAGTCCCATGGTGAAGGAATATAACACAGTCCCATGGTGAAGGAATATAACACAGTCCCATGGTGAAGGAATATAACACAGTCCCATGGTGAAGGAATTTAACACAGTCCCATGGTGACGGAATATAACACAGTCCCATGGTTGAGGAATATAACACAGTCCCATGGTGACGGAATATAACACAGTCCCATGGTGAAGGAATATAACACAGTCCCATGGTGACGGAATATAACACAGTCCCATGGTGACGGAATATAACACAGTCCCATGGTGAAGGGAATATAACACAGTCCCATGGTGAAGGAATATAACACAGTCCCATGGTGACGGAATATAAACACAGTCCCATGGTGAAGGAATATAACACAGTCCCATGGTGACGGAATATAACACAGTCCCATGGTGAAGGAATATAACACAGTCCCATGGTGACGGAATATAACACAGTCCCATGGTGACGGAATATAACACAGTCCCATGGTGACGGAATATAACACAGTCCCATGGTGAAGGAATATAACACAGTCCCATGGTGAGGAATATAACACACAGTCCCATAGTGCGGAATATAACACAGTCCCATGGTGAAAGGAATATAACACCGTCCCATGGTGACGGAATATAACACAGTCCCATGGTGAAGGAATATAACACAGTTCCCATGGTGAAGGAATATAACACAGTCCCATGGTGAAGGAACCTATCAACACAGTCCCATGGTGACGGAATATAACACAGTCCCATGGTGACGGAATATAACACAGTCCCATGGTGAAGGAATATAACACAGTCCCATGGTGACGAAATATACCACAGTCCCATGGTGAGGAATATAACACAGTCCCATGGTGACGGAATATAAACACAGTCCCATGGTGACGGAATATAACACAGTCCCATGGTGACGGAATATAACACAGTCCCATGGTGAAGGAATATAACACAGTCCCATGGTGAAGGATATAACACAGTCCCATGGTGAGGAATATAACACAGTCCCATGGTGAAGGAATTTAACACAGTCCCATGGTGAGGAATATAACCAGTCCCATGGTGAAGGAATTTAACACAGTCCCATGGTGGACGGAATATAACACAGTCCCATGGTGACGGAATATAACACAGTCCCCATGGTGAAGGAATATAACCACAGTCCCCATGGTGAGGAATATACACAGTCCCATGGTGAAGGAATATAACACAGTCCCATGGTGACGGAATATAAACACAGTCCCATGGTGACGGAATATAACACGTCCCATGGTGACGGATATAACACAGTCCCATGGTGAAGGATTTAACACAGTCCCATGGTGACGGAATATAACCACAGTCCATGGTGAAGGAATTTAACACAGTCCCATGGTGACGGAATATAACACAGTCCCATGGTGACGGAATATAACACAGTCCCATGGTGATGAAGGCAATATAACACAGTCCCATGGTGAAGGAATATAAACACAGTTCCCATGGTGACGGAATTAAACACAGTCCCATGGTGACGGAATATAACACAGTCCCCATGGTGACGGAATATAACACAGTCCCCATGGTGACGGAATATAACACAGTCCCATGGTGACGGAATATAACACAGTCCCATGGTGACGGAATATAACACAGTCCCATGGTGAAGGAATATAACACAGTCCCATGGTGACGGAATATAACACAGTCCCATGGTGACGGAATATAACACAGTCCCATGGTGAAGGAATATAACACAGTCCCATGGTGAAGGAATATAACACAGTCCCATGGTGACGGAATATAACACAGTCCCATGGTGACGGAATATAACACAGTCCCATGGTGACGGAATATAACACAGTCCCATGGTGAAGGAATTTAACACAGTCCCATGGTGAAGGAATATAACACAGTCCCATGGTGAAGGAATATAACACAGTCCCATGGTGAAGGAATATAACACAGTCCCATGGTGAAGGAATTTAACACAGTCCCATGGTGACGGAATATAACACAGTCCCATGTTGAAGGAATATAACACAGTCCCATGGTGACGGAATATAACACAGTCCCATGGTGAAGGAATATAACACAGTCCCATGGTGACGAATATAAACACAGTCCCATGGTGACGGAATATAACACAGTCCCATGGTGAAGGAATATAACACAGTCCCATGGTGAAGGAATATAACACAGTCCCATGGTGACGGAATATAACACAGTCCCATGGTGAAGGAATATAACACAGTCCCATGGTGACGGAATATAACACAGTCCCATGGTGAAGGAATATAACACAGTCCCATGGTGACGGAATATAACACAGTTCCCATGGTGACGGAATATAACACAGTCCCATGGTGACGGAATATAACACAGTCCCATGGTGAAGGAATATAACACAGTCCCCATGGTGAAGGAATATAACACAGTCCCATGGTGACGGAATATAACACAGTCCCATGGTGAAGGGAATTATAACACAGTCCCATGGTGACGGAATATAACACAGTCCCATGGTGAAGGAATATAACACCAGTCCCATGGTGAAGGAATATAACACAGTCCCATGGTGAAGGAATATAACACAGTCCCATGGTGACGGAATATAAACACAGTCCCATGGTGACGGAATATAACACAGTCCCATGGTGACGGAATATAACACAGTCCCATGGTGACGGAATATAACACAGTCCCATGGTGAAGGAATATAACACAGTCCCATGGTGACGGAATATAACACAGTCCCATGGTGACGGAATATAACACAGTCCCATGGTGACGGAATATAACACAGTCCCATGGTGAAGGAATATAACACAGTCCCATGGTGAAGGAATATAACACAGTCCCATGGTGAAGGAATATAACACAGTCCCATGGTGAAGGAATTTAACACAGTCCCATGGTGAAGGAATATAACACAGTCCCATGGTGAAGGAATTTAACACAGTCCCATGGTGACGGAATATAACACAGTCCCATGGTGACGGAATATAACACAGTCCCATGGTGAAGGAATATAACACAGTCCCATGGTGAAGGAATATAACCACAGTCCCATGGTTGGACGGAATATAACACACGTCCCATGGTGAAGGAATATAACACAGTCCAATGGTGAACGGAATATAACACCAGTCCCATGGTGAAGGAATATTTTAACACGTCCCATGGGCGTATTATAAACACAGTCCCATGGTGAAGGAATAAACACAGTCCCATGGTGACGGAAATATAACACAGGTCCCATGGTGACGGAATATAACACCAGTCCCATGGTGAGGAATATAACACAGTTCCCATGGTGAAGGAATTATTCAACACCGGTCCCATGGTGACGGGAATATAACACAGTCCCATGGTGACGGAATATAAACACAGGCATCCCCATGGTGACGGAATATAACACAGTCCCATGGTGACGGAATAACCACCAGTCCCATGGTTGAAGGAATTAAACACAGTCCATGGTGGAAGGAATATAACACAGTCCCCTAGGAATATAACACAGTCCCATGGTGAAGGAATATACACAGTCCCCATGGTGAAGGAATATAACACAGTCCCATGGTGAAGGAATATAACACAGTCCCATGGTGAAGGAATATAACACAGTCCCATGGTGAAGGAATATAACACAGTCCCATGGTGAAGAAATAGAACAGTCCCATGGTGAAGGAATATAACCAGGAACAGACTGAGTCCCCTGCCAGGAGTCTGGTTTACTTTTTGGTTACACACCATGAACTTCAGCCTAGTTTCCACTACATTGACTTTACCAGTGCACCATGGCAGTCTAACCCATAGAGATCCTATTACATTACTAGAGGGGCTATGTTATAAACACTCAAAGTTCCATAAATTCCCATCATTAGAAGGTTCTTGTCCATTCTACTATTCTAATTCCTAATTATATGGCCTAACCCATGCCTTCCTCATCCTTCACTAAACCTTCCCAGTCTCATAACACCCCAGCAGTCTATCTGACTATAGACTGTTCTGTCGCAGCAGAGTGGCTTCGTTTGGATAATGAGGCTTCACAGAATGACCTTAGACCTTGAGTGGATCGTTGGTTAAAAAGTGAACTTAGAAAGGCTGAACATAAATGGAAGGCCTGCAAACTTCAAGTATTCTTTGAGATATAGAAGGATCTGATGAGAAATTACAATGTTGTTGTTAAAGATGCAAGAGCGAACTACTTCTCTATCCTGATCTCTGAGAACTCCCACAACTCGAAAATTCTGTTTAAGACAATTGAGCGTGTTGCTGGTGCCCCCACTAACAGTGACATGCTCACATCCCCTGACCTCTGTCAACAGTTTTTAAGATACTTTACAGAAAATATAGAAAATATTAGATCCCAGAATGACAGTAGCCGACACCATACCAGCATTTCCTGTCAGGATGCACTTGAGGTAACTACTCTGAGACTGTCTACTGCTTCCTTTGAGCGAATATCATTTGAGTCCCTCCTTGATCCTGTCGCTCACATGAAGACCTCCTCCTGCCCCTTGGACGTGATCCCTACTAGACTACTAAAAAAGCTTATGCCTACTGTTGGCCCCAACATTCTGTCTCTTGTAAATAGCTCCCTGACCTCTGGCTCCTTTCCAGCCTATTTTAAAACTGCTCTGGTCCAACCTCTCCTTAAAAAGCCCAATCTAGAACCCTCACTGAGTAATTATAGACCTATCTCTAAACTTCCTTTTTTATCCAAGATTTTAGATGTTGCTTTCAAGCAACTGGTCACTTATTTGAGCATGGAAACTGCTTCATTGACAGTCAGTAATGACCTTCTGTTGGCTGTCGATTAATGCTCTATTCTAGTTATTTTGGATCTCAGTGATGCGTTTGACACTATTGACCATAACATCCTTGTTGACCAGCTGCATTGCCCTCGACTGGTTAAGGTCATATCTATGCGGCAGACATTTCTCAGTGAGGGTGGGTGGTTCAGTCTTGTCCCCAGAACCTATTCACTATGGTGTCCCCCAGGGATAAATTATGGGGCCCATCCTTTTCCCCCTGTACATGCTTCCCCTTGGTGACATAATCCGCAATCATAACATTCAGTTTCACTGCTATGCGGATAACACATAGCTTTATTTACTAATCAAACCCAGTGGCTAAGCTGCGTAACTACCCTTCACAAGTGTCTTGCTGACATCAAATGTTGGATGTCTGACAATTTTCTCTATCTCAATGATAAGAAATCAGAGGTTGTTTTATATGGCCCCCACCTTGCTAGATCCCAGATTGTAAATAACCTTGGTCATTTGTCCACCAATGTAAAGCCTATGGCCAAAAACCTTGGTGTCTTCTTTGACTCTTACCTAAACCTCGAACTACATGTAAAGAAGGTTATCCAGTCCTGCTTTTATCCCCTTAGAAATATAGCTAAAGTCAAGTATTTTATTCAGTCACTGATCTGGAGAAAGTTATAGCTACATGCCATTAGGGCCCCTAGCCTTTGGGATGGTCTGCCAGAAGAGATCAGGCTTGTAGTTTCAGTGCCTCTTTGTATCCCTGCTGAAAACACACTTTTATAAAGATGCTTTTAATGTATGATTTGAATGTATGATTTGAATTAGCTATCTTGTTTTATTCTTCTTCCTCCTGTCTTTGTTTCTTTGTTAGTACTTTTATTTTATGAAGTGAAGCACTTTGTTACCTGTATTGAAAAGTGCTATACAAATAAAGTTAATGTTCTTAAGTTATTATTAGACAGAATGAAGTGGAAGACTGATTTCACAAGTCACAAGTCAGAGCTTGAGTCAAGTCACACATCTCTCTCTCCCACTTCTCTCCATCACTCTGTTCTCCTTGCCCTCTCTCTTCTCCCTCCCTCCCTCCCTCCCTCCCTCCATCCCTGAGACTGTCACGCTACACCAGTGTATTGCATTGTGAGTGTGTATTAATAATGAAAGAGTGTTAATGTTTGGTCCAGTCAGCTCTCGTGGAGGCAGGCCCAGCCCCCGGCCCAGACACTGATACCCTGCAGCCAGCCAGGTAACGAACACTCTGTTATGTAGCTGTGCAACCAATCCATACTAATTATTGACTTGACTCATCAGGAATAGTCTCATGTGATCTATCTCCTGGTTTGTTAACGGCTCACATCCTTAGATAACATCTTCCTGTGGTTTCAATCAGAGGGATCTGTGTGCAACCACAGCGTAGTGTTCTTATCTTTTTGCACAGCTGTTTTAATTTATAGACAGTGTGTGTAGATTGTCTGTCATTCCCACCCACATTGATCAGGGGAGCCCTTAGGGGTGTGTTAGATTAGGCTACACAGACATACAGAGTGCCTCTGCAGTGCTGGAGGGAGCTGGAAGCTGCTGTTGTTGTGTTCAGGACTGAGGTGGAGGGAGTGGTGATATCAGGGCTAAGCTCACCCCAAACTCCAGAGAGAGAGAGAGAGAGAGGGGGGTGGGGGGGTAGTGAGAGAGAGCAGGCTGAGCTCATCTGGCCCGCAGCCAGGCCTGGATAAAGTTCTGTTTTCCTCTCTACTTCTCTCTATTCTCTCTCTCACCCTTCAACCTCTTTCATTCTCTCCTCTCTGTCTCTGGTCACATCTGAGTGAGGCACTGTATTTATTTCTCTCAGCTGGGCTGACTAGCAAAGACCACTTCATTCCAATAAGAGGCAGTAAGTAGCTAGTGGATTTGAATTGAAGGTGGACTTACCCTTGTCCTATTTTCTCAAAGCGTGTGTACTTCTTTTTGGGGTCCCCCACACTCACAATGCTCCCTGGGAGGACAGAGAGAGGTGATTGGTGGAGAGTGTAGAGAGTGTGAGAGCATGACAATAGGGGATCTAGGTCAGGCTGAGGTAGCTACTACACACACACACACACACACACACACACACAGCACGATCATGGAGAAGGCAACAGTACATTACACACACACTCCTCTGCCCACGCCACTCAGGGATGTGGCCCGCTGTGGGGCCTCGTATTGCAGCCAAATACACTGCTGCATGCTGGAAGGTTGGCCTGCTCAGTAGAGCACTGCTGATGTTTTTGGACAGGGACACGGGCAGACACTGCAGCACTCTGACTATGGAGGGGCGCTTGGCCATCCTAAGGCTGTAATCTCTGGCTTACTGATCAGTCCACACTAATCACTGCAGTAGGATGGGTTTGGAGGCCTGGACACACATCACAGTACAGTTACAGCATACTCTCTATGGGACTCTCCATGCTCCATAGGTCCACAGAGAGACAACATACTCAGTCGCTCCAGAATCTCCTCGTCTGTCATCTTGGACTTCTTCTTCTGCCGGTCGGTGTGGCGGTACAGAGTGCTGGACGTGTTCTCTGGCTGGACCTGGGACTCCGGTGGGGTTGTGACCTCCTTCACAGGGGCGGGAGGCGCCAAGGGCTCGATGACAGAGCGGGTATATATCTGTACGGAGAGGAGCAGGACACAGTCAGAGTCAGAGAGGAGCAGGACACAGTCAGAGAGGAGCAGGAAAACAAGCATACTCTACAGCTCTGTAGTGAGTTGAGTTGTTGAGGTGGTAAGACTGTAAGTCTGTCTAGCGTAGATCTGTAACAAGGTTTTAAGTCATCGTTCATAACCTCAGTGTGACTCACAGATTTAGTGTGCTCAGGTCGAGGTGCGATGACAGGCGGTAGCTCATCGTCATCCTCCTCCTCCTCCTCCTCTTCCTCCTCCTCATCATCCTCCTCCGACACAGGGGGCGCTATCGGGGGCTCTGTGGATGTCTTTGCACCCTGATGGGTAAAACAAGGTGTCAGTGAGGAGGTCTGTAGTACGTTGGACTGTGACAATCTGACATCACTGGGACAGACTGCATCACCTGCATTATTGTCAATGGTTAGTCCAGGGACTCCTAATGTTCCATGTAATGAAGCATGTCCAAGCTTACAATAAACACCTCCTAAGACCATCCCATTACAACAGGGTGCTCAGCTGTGAAATAGGATAGGGTAAAACAGAAAGATTGTAATGTATTACACATGTGTAATCAGGAATGTAGGTATTCGACATTATCAGCTTGCTTAAACCTGGACAGGATAGCTACTAGAATGGCTTATGATCATATGGGCTGAGGTAGTTAAAATTAGATTTAAAAACACAGTTAAAATGAGAGTTAAAAACAGAGTTAAAATGAGAGTTAAAAACAGAGTTAAAATGAGAGTTAAAAACACAGTTAAAATGAGAGTTAAAAACAGAGTTAAAATGAGAGTTAAAAACAGAGTTAAAATTAGAGTTAAAAACAGTTAAAAGTGAGAAAACATGCTACAACAAGGCTAACAGGGATAATCTCTGTCGTGATGTATTTCAGTGTCAGTTCATTGAACTGCATTATACAGCATGCAGTTGGGCCTAGAGCCAAACACGCAAAACAACCCGTATCCGAATACTCCAACTCCAACCATAGCCACTAAAAACATCACCCAGCCTTACAGTACAGTAGGCCACAATACCTACTCTGATGGTGGTGAAAGAGCCACGCAAAGGCACTCCCTATCACTACTCGCTCCTCTAAATTATTTATAATGTCTCTCACCTCTGTACTGTACTCCATCATAAAAACCATCATCTGGGTGAGCCTGTTCTGTAAGGTGGGATAGAATTCATCCATCCCTAGCCTAAGTATGCAATGTAAGATGGCAAAGAATAGCCAAAGCAGCACAGTATAGCAGTAGTGGTGACTAGCTGCAGGCTATGAAATGGTGGCAAGCCAGCAGTCCTTCGTTTAGCAGTGGAAGGTGGTTTGGTTTAAGCCCTGCCATGGGGGATAATAGGGGTCAGTGTTCTGAGGAGAGCCCCAGAAACCGAACAAATAGAGCTGAAGGAGGCAGAGGAGATGAGGGGCTAGCTGGCTAATGATAAGTAGCGCTAGGCTAGCAGGTTTCTACTGGGCCATGCGGTCAGATCTAAACAGCTGATGGACAATTAAAGCAGGCACATATTGGCTATGTGATGAACACGGGATCAGACATGCAGGAATTTGAGGATCGTCACAGCCCTCTTAGGCATGTGCCCCTGCCCTGCCAGTTAAAGGATGGGCCATTTGGAATTGTTTAAGGAAATGCTTACAGCCAAGTGGTGAAATAGAGAAGCATCCATTACATTAGAAAATTTTGCCAGATCCAATTTAAATATAGAGAATGATGATGTCTCTAAAATCTCAAACATTTGCAGATGGTAAGTTGTGTTCATTGGTAAGTCATGTTTATTTTCATCCAATGGAGTCTGGATATCTGGGCAAATCTAGCATCAACAACATTAAGAGTGCAAAATGGTTCAATTTAGAGTATAGCCAATGTAGAGGTATGTGGAAAGTAATATGGAGGAGTTACCTTGTCAAATAATGCGCTGCAGGTTCTAAGGCTGACAGGAGGCCCAGACGACAGCAGTCGGTTCTGAATGTGAAGGTTGAAAATGGGAGGATTTACTGAACACAGACCCACACAACATTACAGAACAATGGATTGGACTATAGAGGGATGGGACAGGGCAGAGGGCAGGGGACCGCTACAGAGGGATGGGGACTAATTTATATCATCAACATCTAACTACAGATTAATGGATCCTCACATATCAACTGAGGAGAGATTTTCATGGGTGAAGAGACACAAATCATATTTTGGGGACCTTCTCCTAATGACCAGACCTAGCTGCTGACATAGATGGAGATGCCAAGGTGATCAATACAGTGATACTAGTGGCAGAACCTTTTGCTTCTGGACAGTGACTTAACGCCACCATATTATTACATATATCAGAGGGCTGAGCGATTCAGAGGTGTGGTACCCACTGCCAGGCTCTGAACTAGCTCCTTACTGACCTGCTCTACCAACACTTCATCAGGACCCTCAGAGTGCTGGGAGTCAACAGGCCGGCACCACCGCCTGGGAACAACAGCCTTCTCCAGACATAACAAAACCATAATAGAGAAAGAGCTCAGACTCTTCACACCCAAGCGGTAAAGTACCAACAGACAGAAAGACTGAATGCAGGTGAGTGCACACGACCTCTGAGTCTTCTTTCTCAGTCCACCAATGAAACATTACTCTGACAGCGACACTGTCCAAAGAATGTTTAGTCAATAGCAACTTACCTGTCTAGTTAACATACAGTGAGGAGATTGGTTCCATCACTTGTGTAGACAGTTACCCGTACACAACTACCGATTAAGGTCCTATAGGGACAATGGTTTTCAAAAGATATGAAATATGACAGAATGGTTCATTATTAAAATACTCTGAGACATTGTGGCAGCCCAGAGAGAGTCATTAGGCTGATTTCCAAAGGGACGTTTAGACTCTGAGACAGTCATGTGAGGTCAGGGTAATGATAATAGACAGTCTGGCTTACAGTCCTTACAAAAGCTCCACAGCACACTACAGCTGAGTAGAGAGTACTACAACTCATGTAAGCTAATATTTCTTTTTCTTTCAATAAATGTGGGCTAATTAGTTGTTGAGAGGAAAGGAACATGTTTGAAATGAATGAGCACTTACCAGAGTGTTGGCTGCTATGTATCCATGTGCTGATTTGTCTGAAAGAGAAAGGAATCATTGCCAGACGTCCCATTCTCTTACATTGACAACACGCTGACAGATCCGCATGTAGACTCTTCCATAAATAGTCAAAGCTTTTGCTCAGTAGCATATTCTTTATTCAGAAAATGTAAGACAGCAGCGTCTGGGCATTGTGTGTTTGTATGTTCTTACCTCCAGAGGTGAAACTCATGTATTTCTGGTTGTTGACCGTCTCTTTGGAGTCGTAGAACTTAAGCACGTCCAGCACGGCCTGAGGGTTCTTCTTCTGTTCCAGCTTGGTGATGTTGGAGGTCTGAAGGAGGCGCGCCCACTGCTCTGGGATGCCCTGGTGGAGAGAGATCAAAGGTCATAGGTCATGGGTTAGATCCATTCTTTGAACTCATCGCTACCACTGCACACCTTTTCATGTCTGGGTTATAATTAACAAGTAGTGGTAATATGGGGGATCTGCCATTTAAGGGTGTACTCATAGCTACCACTAGATAACTTCCTTGTCTGTGATATACTGTATACTGTATAAATACACTACCATTCAAAAGTTTGGGGTCACTTAGAAATGTCCTTGTTTTGTCCATTAAAATAACATAAACTTGATCAGAAATACAGTGGAGACATTGTTAATGTTGTAAATGTCTATTGTAGCTGGAAATGGCTGATTTGTAATGGCATATCTACATAGGCATACAGAGGCCCATTATCAGCAACCATCAGTCCTGTGTTCCAATGGCACGTTGTGTTTGCTAATCCAAGTTTATCATTTTAAAAGGCTAATTGATCATTAGAAAACTATTTTGCAATTATGTTAGCACAGCTGAAAACTGTTGTGCTGATTAAAGAAGCAATAAAACTGGCCTTCTTGAGACTAGTTGAGTATCTGGAGCATCAGCATTTGTGGGTTCGATTACAGGCTCAAAATGGCCAGAAACAAAGAACTTTCTTCTGAAACTCGTCAGTCTATTCTTGTTCTGAGAAATGAAGGCTATTCCATGCGAGAAATTGCCAAGAAACTGAAAATCTCGTACAACGCTGTGTACTACTCCCTTCACAGAACAGCGCAAACTGGCTCTAACCAGAATAGAAAGAGGAGTGGGAGGCCCCGGTGCACAACTGAGCGAGAGGACAAATACATTAGAGTGTCTAGTTTGAGAAACAGGTGCCTCACAGGTCCTCAACTGGCAGCTTCATTAAATAGTACCCGCAAAACACCAGTCTCAACGTCAACAGTGAAGAGGCGACTCCGGGATGCTGACCTTCTAGGCAGAGTTGCAAAGAAAAAGCCATATCTCAGACTGCCCATCTTAAACTTTTCTTTTTATTGGCCAGTCTGAGATATGGCTTTTTCTTTGCAACTCTGCCTAGAAGGTCAGCATCCCGGAGTCGCCTCTTCACTGTTAACGTTGAGACTGGTGTTTTGCGGGTACTATTTAATGAAGCTGCTAGAGTGAGAGGCGTCTGTTTCTTAAACTAGACACACTCATGTATTTGTCCTCTTGCTCAGTTGTGCACCGGGGCCTCCCACTCCTCTTTCTATTCTGGTTAGAGACAGTTTGCGCGGTTCTGTGAAGGGAGTAGTACACAGCGTTGTACGAGATCTTCAGTTTCTTGGCAATTTCTCGCATGGAATAGCCTTCATTTCTCAGAACAAGAATAGAGTTTCAGAAGAAAGTTCTTTGTTTCTGGCAATTTTGAGCCTGTAATCGAACCCACAATTGCAGATGCTCCAGATACTCAATTAGTCTCAAGAAGGCCAGTTTTATTGCTTCTTTAATCAGCACAACAGTTTTCAGCTGTGCTAACATAATTGCAAAAGGGTTTCCTAATGATCAATTAGCCTTTTAAAATGATAAACTTGGATTAGCAAACACAACGTGCCATTGGAACACAGGACTGATGGTTGCTGATAATGGGCCTCTGTACGCCTATGTTTAATAGATATTCCATTAAAAATCAGCTGTTTCCAGCTACAATAGCCATTTACAACATTAACAATGTCTACACTGTATTTCTGATCAATTTGATGTTATTTTAATGGACAAAAAAATTGTTAAACAAGGACATTTCTAAGTTACCCCAAACTTTTGAACAGTAGTGTATATGCACTGGAAATACCTTGATCTGTCACTCAAGGATGTACTGCCTTTCATTATTATACTTAAGATAAAATGTTTCTTCTATTCTACTGAGCCATTTACTTTATGTTCGTATTCTTATCTTTTATTATTTCTTATTGTTTTTACATTGTCGAGAAGGAACCTGCAAGTAAGCATTTCGTTAGACGGTGTATACCATGTGTATCCCGTACATATGACTAATACAACTTGAAACTGAAACTTACAGTGAACTCTCCTGTAACAGCGTCAAAACCGACATGTATGGTGTGCTCAAAGTCTGAAGGCAGGGAGATCTCAGGACGCTCCTTCTCCTTCTTCTTGTTTGCTGCATAGGGGAACAAAAGAACATTCAGATCTATTTCTAATACATACACAGGGATTTTAAAGAGATATACAGTGCCTTCGGAAAGTATTCAGACCCCATGACTTTTTCCACATTTTGTTACATTACAGCCTTATTCTAAATAAAATAAAAAAAATGTTTAAACAATCCTCAGCAATCTACACACAATACCCCTTTGCTATGAGACTCGACATTTCTGTAGTGTGTGTTGATTGATAGAACAGACCTAGCTACAATAATACAGTGCATTCGGAAAGTATTCAGACCCCTTCCCCTATGAGACTCGAAATTGAGCTCAGGTGCATCCTGTTTCCATTGATCATCCTTGAGATGTTTCTACAACTTGATTGGAATCCACCTGTGGTAAATTCAATTGATTGGACATGATTTGGAAAGGCACACACCTGTCTATATAAGGTCCCACAGTTAACAGTGCATGTCAGAGCAAAAACCAAGCCATGAGGTCGAAGGAATTGTCCGTAGAGCTCCGAGACAGGATTGTGTCGAGGCACAGATCTGGGGAAGGGTACCAAAAACATTTCTGCAGCATTGAAGGTCCCCAAGAACATAGTGGCCTCTATCATTCTTAAATGGAAGAAGAGCCTTCCTAGAGCTGGCCGCCCGGACAAACTGAGCATTCGGGGGAGGTGACCAAGAACCCGATAGTCACTCTGATAGAGCTCTAGAGTTCCTCTGTGGAGATGGGAGAACCTTCCAGAAGAACAACCATCTCTGCAGCACTCCACCAATCAGGCCTTTATGGTAGAGTGGCCAGACGGAAGCCACTCCTCAGTAAAAGGCACATGACAGCCCGCTTGGAGTTTGCCAAAAGGCACCTAAAGACTCTCAGACCATGAGAAACAAGGTTCTCTGGTGTGATGAAACCAAGATTGAACTCTTTGGCCTGAATGCCAAGTGTCACGTCTGGAAGAAACCTGGCACCATCCCTATGGTGAAGCATTGTGGTGGCACAATCATGCTGTGGGGATGGGAGAATAGTCAGGATTGAGGCAAAGATGAACGGAGCAAAGTACAGAGAGATCCTTGATGAAAACCTGCTCCAGAGCGCTCAGGACCTCAGACTGGGGCGAAGGTTCACCTCCCAACAGGACAACGACCCTAAGCACACAGCCAAGACAACGCAGGAGTGGCTTCGGGACAAGTGGCCCAGCCAGAGACCGGACTTAAACCCGATCTAACATCTCTGGAGAGACCTGAAAATAGCTGTGCAGCAACGCTCCCCATCCAACCTGACAGAGCTTGAGAGGATATGCAGAGAAGAATGGGAGAAACTCCCCAAATATAGGTGCTCTAAGCTTGTAGTGTCATACCCAAGAAGTCTCAAGGCTGTAATCGCTGCCAAAGGTGCTTCAACAAAGTATTGAGTAAAGGGTCTGAATACTTATGTGAATGTAATATTTCAGTTTTGTATTTTTAATAAATTAGTAAAAATGTCTAAAAACCTGTTTTAGCTCTGTCATTATGGGGTATTGTGTGTAGATTGATGAGGGGAAAAAACAATTTAATACATTTTAGAATAAGGCTGTAACCTAACAAAATGTGGAAAAAGTCAAGGGGTCTGATTACTTTCCGAAGGCACTGTATGTTAAAATCGGTGTCATTATTCTTGAACAGTGATTTTCAATATTTTTAGAGTAAGAACCGTGTTTACAAGGATTATATGGCTCTAGCAGATTCTTTCACTTTTTTGCTGAGGGCAGAGCTAAAGAATAAATACAATACCCATATCTCAAATTGCATAGCTCAGAGGAGGCTCCTAACCCTAATAAAACACTGATCAACGGGTTCCTTGTTGTCACTTGACCTTGTGAGCCAGTGGTGATGTCTTGGGCACAGAGTTTTTCCTGGAAAACCAAAACAACTCCAGGCCTAGTTTTTCCTGTTTAGGTCACGTGGTCAGGACAAACTCAGGGCCCTAGTTCTATAGTAAAGGGTGATGCAGATGTCTACTCACTCTTGTCTCCTCCAGGGAAGATGGAGCGCAGGCGGACCTTCTTGTTCTTCTCTTCAGGAGCCATTGGGAGAGGTTTGGAGCCGTGATTCACTGATGAGTCTCGGGAACTACTGTTCATTCTCAAGGGAGGGGCTGGCGGTTTCTCTTCAATATCGACACTATCGGACATCTTTAGTAACACTCACAGTATCCTAGGACGAAGGGAAAAAACAAGAGAGAGGGAAGTTTAGCATAAGGCTATGATAGAAAATAAAGTAAAGGATTCTTAGGATCAAAGTGGAAAGAGAGAAGAGAGCCATGCCTACAGGCTCTCCCCTGAGATATCAAAATATACTGAAATCCACCACTCCCTCTGCACACTGCAGGCTTTAAACAGAACAACATGCATCCCACATTGAACTAAATCAGGAAATGTGAGGAATGTTGAAATGGTTTTGAACTTGAGTACAAATGCTGTAAGACTTTGTCAGGAGTTCAACAAAACTCCACAAGGTAATAGCCTTTGGATGGCTGTCTGTCTCCCCCTCACTGTGTAATGTTTGCTGTCAGTAGAGGCATGAGCAGCCTCAAGTGTTTAAATCTCCATGGGTCACAAGAAGGGCTCTCTCTGTGCTCCAGGGGGGCACAATATCCCATAATCTGTCTCTACTAAGACTTACAATTTCCTGTCATAGTTTCACTCTCTGGTTCCTAATCTTTTTCTTGAAGGAAGGCCTCTGTGTTCAGGAACTACTCTGTGTAATGTTTTATATCTGCCGTGTGCCAAAGAAAAAACGATCCAATCACAAGATTTACAGACTGGAAAACATCTTGCTATAAAACCATGTTTAAATCTAAATTACTACATTCAACAGAAGCTCCAAGTAGATTAATCATCTTTGCTGAGATCATCGTCTGCTGAAATGATGGAGAGAAACGGACAAAGTGTATACTATGGAGACTGCAGCCCATCGACTTACATTCATATAGGGGGAGATAAATCCACTAGTACACATCTGACTTCATCTGGCAGCATCTGTAAACAGACTATTTTGTCCTCAGCATAGTCAAACCCTTACATCCCTGATTGACAGATATTGCCATGTAAAATCCTGGACTACAGTACTACTGTAGTTGTAGCCTATACAGTATTTTCCATGTGTAACCTGATTATCGGAGATTCAACCAAGCCTCAGTACAGACACTCCCAGTTATTGAAACACACTGACATTCAAATCGATCAATGTTTATGTACACCCACGACGAAACATGTTTCAGGAACATATCTCACCATTTGCAGTGGATGTCACATTGTGTTCCATTACATTGCTGTCTGTTACATTTCACCCAACATTCTCTCAGGCATCTCTGTCCTAAATGTGAATATGTGAGGCAGACGTTTGGGCCAGCGATTTAGAATGTGTGTTATAGGGCATGGCTGCTCGGCTGCAGTAAGGGTAGGTCTCAGTAAGGGTAGGTCTCAGTACGGGTAGGTCTCAGTAAGGGTAGGTCTCAGTACGGGTAGGTCTCAGTAAGGGTAGGTCTCAGTACGGGTTGGTCTCAGTAAGGGTAGGTCTCAGTACGGGTAGGTCTCAGTAAGGGTAGGGCTCAGTAAGGGTAGGGCTCAGTAAGGGTAGTGCTCAGTAAGGGTAGCTCTCAGTAAGGGTAGGTCTCAGTACGGGTAGGTCTCAGTACGGGTAGGTCTCAGTAAGGGTAGGTCTCAGTAAGGGTAGGTCTCAGTAAGGGTAGGGCTCAGTAAGGGTAGGTCTCAGTAAGGGTAGGTCTCAGTAAGGGTAGGTCTCAGTAAGGGTAGGTCTCAGTAAGGGTAGGTCTCAGTAAGGGTAGGTCTCAGTAAGGGTAGGGCTCAGTAAGGGTAGGGCTCAGTAAGGTTAGGGCAGTAATATAATATGAAGCAGAGGTTCCAACAGAGGTTCTTATTTTTCTCTGCTGCTCTCTTACATTGTTATTGCAGCTGTAGGCTTTTGAAGCCCTCTCCTGGAGCATCAGGACCAGGGTAATATAATGAGAGTGACAGGAGCATGCTCTGCATAGTAAACAGTGGGCCCTGTAGGAATGGAAGCAGCATACAGGACAGTGAGACAGATCTGCAGCTTGCAGTAGAGCAGACCCCTAGTTAGGGATTCCAACTACATCAGGAACATTGGCCTATTTAGGTAATGTGGAGAGGGCTCTCAGATGAAGATGGGATAGCCATCTGGAAGAATCTGGGAGGATAAATCTGTGCAAGTAAAGGTTAGGCTCAAGACAGTATACTCATTGTCATCCTAAACCCTGTTGACTACAGTTTGAGATGAAGAAAACAGCTACAGATTCAGTTAAATTACAGTAATTCCCTCTCCCAATGTAAACAAGTGAAAGTCAATGAAGAGCAACCTTCAAGAGACAGCTATTTTTCTCAGGCTGTTAGAAGGACACAAGCTAATGAGCTGTTTGGTGCTGGAATGGTGCTAATGATGTTGTTCGACTGTGAAATCGCAACCGGGATATGGAGAGAGGGAGCTGGGCTTCATATCTCTCATCCATCCTCCATCTTAGGCTATTTTCACAGCCTCGCCCTGAGGCCCATCATGTGATGTACAGTCCAACAGTCTCCGAATCAGGGCCACACAGCCTCTCAGACTGGAAACCTACATTAGTAAACAAAGGCCACCAGGCAGCACAGGATTCACTCCCGGACCACCGGCAATCTCTCATTTAAAGTGGTAGAAGCAGCCTTTGAGAGATCAAATGTCTGTCTGTGTCAAATCAAATCAAAGCTTATTGGTCGCATATACAGTTTAGCAGATGTTATGGCGGGTGTGCGGCGAAATGCTTATGTTACTAGCTCCTAACAATGCAGTAAAATAGTACAAAAATAAATTAAATGTAAAAAAAAAGTACAAAAAAGTACTACAAGAAATCAAGAACGAACGTCGGGACGAATCGAATTAACAAACCAGATAGCACTGTAACAGTAATCAAAATGCAATCTATACGTATGTACAGTGGATACATTTACACAAGATATATTAAGAATGATATGTACACTACCGGTGAAAAGTTTTAGAATACCTACTCATTCAAAAAAAAAAAATATTTGTACTATTTTCTACATTGTAGAATAATAGTGAAGACAACAAAACCAGTGTTGCCAACTAATTTTCAGGGGAAGTTGCTAGAGGCAGGTCGAATTTGTTGGTAAAAGTTGCTAAATGTCACACTCTGGCTCCGGGACTTGTATTTGAGCCAGGGTGTATTCGTGTTGTTGGGGTTTGTTTTGGTTAGGTTGGGAATAGGGTGTGTTCATTTGGGTGTGTGTGGTTTTGGTTAGTTCTTGTGTAGTCATGTGACTCCCAATCGGAGGTAACGAGTGTCAGCTGTCGGCTCGTTATCTCTGATTGGGAGCCATATTTATCTGTATGTTTTCCTTTGGGTGTTGTGGGTTTTTGTTCCGTTTCGGTCGGTGTACCGTGGACTTCATGAGTCGTCTTTTGTTTGTAGTTCGAAACTTTAATGAATAAAGTCATGTTTCTTGCACACGCTGCGCCTTGGTATCCTTCGCTCTTAGACGACCGTGACAGAAAAACCCACCATTCTAGGACCAAGCGGCGTGTCAAGCGGCAACAGGATCCACCTACACAGGATTCATGGACATGGGAGGAGATACTGGATGGAAGGGGTCCTTGGGCACAACCGGGAGAATATCGCCGCCCTCGTGAAGAGCTGGAGGCAGCTAAAGCCGAGAGGAGGCAATATGAGGAGGCAGCACAGAGGCAAGGCTGGAAGCCCGTGAGCACTAGCCAAAAATTTCTTGGGGGGGGCCTTAAAGGGAGTGTGGCGAAGTCAGGTAGGAGACCTGCGCCTACTCCCTGTACTTACCGTGGAGAGCGAGAGTACGGGCAGACACCGTGTTACGCAGTAGAGCGCATGGTGTCTCCTGTACGCGTGCAGAGCCCGGTTCGGTACATTCCAGCTCCACGTATCGGCCGGGCTAGATTGAGCGTTGAGCCGGATGTCATGAAGCCGGCCCAACGCATCAGGCCACCAGTGCGTCTCCTCGGGCCGGCTTACATGGCACCAGCCTTACGCATGGTGTCCCCGGTTCGCCTACATAGCCCGGTGCGGGTTATTCCTCCTTCCCGTACTGGTCGGGCGACGGGGAGCATACAACCAGGTAAGGTTGGGCAGGCTCAGTGCTCAAGGGAGCCAGTAAGCCTGCACGGTCCGGTATTTCCGGCGCCACCTCCCCGCTCCAGCCCAGTACCACCAGTGCCTACACCACGCACCAAGCCTCCTGTGTGTCCCCAGAGTCCTGTGCGTCCTGTTGCTGCTCCCCGCACTAGCCCTGAGATGCGTGTCCTCAGCCCGGGACCACCAGTTCCGGCACCACGCACCAGGCCTATAGTGCGTCTCGGCCGGCCAGAGTCTGCCGTCTGCCCAACGGCGCCTGAACTGCCCGTCTGCCCAACGGCGCCTGAACTGCCCGTCTGCCAAGCGCTGCATGAACTGCCCGTCTGTACTGAGCCTGCAAAGCCGCCCGTCTGCCATGAGCCTTCAGAGCCGTCCGCCAGACCGGAGCCGCTAAAGCCTTCCGCCAGACAGGAGCCGCTAGAGCCTTCCGGCAGACAGGATCAGCCAGAGCCTTCCGCCAGACAGGATCAGCCAGAGCCTTCCGCCAGACAGGATCAGCCAGAGCCTTCCGCCAGACAGGATCAGCCAGAGCCTTCCGCCAGACAGGATCAGCCAGAGCCTTCCGCCAGACAGGATCAGCCAGAGCCTTCCGCCAGACAGGATCAGCCAGAGCCTTCCGCCAGACAGGATCAGCCAGATCCGTCAGCCTGCCATGAGCAGCCAGATCCGTCAGCCAGCCATGAGCAGCCAGATCCGTCAGCCAGCCATGAGCAGCCAGATCCGTCAGCCAGCCATGAGCAGCCAGATCCGTCAGCCAGCCATGAGCAGCCAGATCCGTCAGCCAGCCATGAGCCGTCCAGCCAGGATCCGCCAGAGCCGTCCAGCCGGGGTCCGCCAGCCAGCCAGGATCCGCCAGAGCCAGCCAGCCAGGATCCGCCATTCAGTCCGGTGCTGCCCCTTAGTCCGGTGCTGCCCCTTAGTCTGGTGCTGCCCCTTATCCTGGTGCTGCCCCTTAGTCTGGTGCTGCCCCTTATCCTGGTGCTGCCCCTTAGTCCGGTG